GGTACATGCTTTTAACAGCTGGACCAACTGCCTGACTGACATCAGTTTGAACCCTTCTTTTATTTAGCAGCCGTCCTCACCAGTAATGCTTGTAAGAAACAATCGCTCATCTTTCAAACATGAATGGTAAGTATGTGGGTCTAAGTAAACTCATGTATCTGTGGCTTTTGTACTGAGACTGATTTGGGGAGCCTCTCTGGGACTCTGGGCAGGTGTTAAGAAAGTTATAAACTATAAAGAACCATTATTGATGTTAAAATGCCCTTATTAGCCAGGTGGTGGCAGTGCACACCTTTAATCCCAGCACTCAGAAGGCAGAGGCAGGAGGATCTCTATGAGTTCGAGGCCAGCCTGGTCTACAGAGTGAGTCCCAGGGCAGACTCTAAACCTATACAGAGAAACCCTGTCTCAAAACCAAAACCAAAACAAACAACCAACCAAACAAAGAAACAAACAAAAAACACCCTTGTTATAAACACTCCTGGTGTTAGTTTTCTTGTAAATAAGCTAGAATTTTAGTGGATACCTACCTGGTACCCTAGATGTTTCAGGGAAGGACAATCAGCCAGGTGGCTAACTGATTGCCCTCAGACTAGCACCTGATGAAGCCACATGGCAACCTAGCTGCTTGCTGTAAAGTACAGCTTTACCTCCTGAAGGTGGAACACAGGTACAATTGTTTTAGTGTGTGTTGGATTTTTCTGTCCTCTCAAGCCTTGGTGAAATGATCCTGCAAGTACCACCAAGGCAAGTACCTGCCTGGAATTACTACCTGGGTAGAGTAAAGGGCCCTCAATCAGGTGATTGCTAACAGTTTCACCCTTGTGGAACGGCAGAGAAACTTCTGCTGCGACTGATGCCAGTACCATGCCATGGTTAGTGTGTCCACAGTCCTCCACGTACATGCAGGTCTATCACATTGGCACAAATACCACTCTTCTAGTTGTTTGGTTCACTTTGGGAGCCAGCTGGGAGTAGTCGTTCTGTGCTACCCCACTGTTGTTCCAATGTGAGACCCAGTAACAGGTTCCTTCCAAGCTGTCTTTTCTGGCTGACTTCTGATCTTTGTCTTTGATTGGTTGTGGAGAAAGCCGCACCATGATAGCTGAGGTAGTGGCAACAGAGACAATGGCAGTGGCAGCTGCAGAGACAGTGGCGGAAGTGACAGTGGTGACGACTGCAGGAGGGAGCTGACTGAAGAATGCCAGAGGACAGTTAGGTTAGAAACAGCTGGCAACCACAGCAGTAAAAACAGTAAAAAGGCTTTGAGAGTAGAGAACTGAGGAAGATGGAATGTTAGCTGGACCTGCGTGCACACTTACAAGCCCTGCACTCAGGAGTCTGAGGCAGGACTGTGAGTTTGAGGTCACATAACAAGAGCCAGGCTAGCCTGAGCTACATGGTAAGACCACATCTCAAACACACACACACACACACACACACACACACACACACACAGAGAGAGAGAGAGAGAGAGAGAGAGAGAGAGAGAGAGAGAGAGAGAGCTATAAATAGCTACAGAGGACAAACTGCAGGCTCTGGTCTGCAGGAAAGTTCCAGAGAGCTATCAGAGATTAAAGGCCACAGGTCTCAGATACTGTGGGCCCCAAAGACTATGATGCCCAACCTTTTTCAGGGCTGGGGAATCTCTATACTGTAAGCCTGAAAGCTGTTAATTATGTACCTTTAATAGGTAGGAACACCAACTTTTTAGACCTGCACCCAAAGCTCAACATTTGTCATCACAAGGCTAAAGGTCACTGTATGTAAGGTCCCCTACATGAAAGCAGTAACAAAGGAAATTACTTGCTGTTGCTGTCAGCCATCTACTAAAGTGCACTGTCACTGAGTTAGGAAAGGCGCCAAGCATGAGCTCTGTGCATGCTTCTCCCACCTGCCTAGAATTCCTACCTGGGTAGAGGAAAGGGCCCTCAACCAGGTGATTGCTAACAGTATCAGCCTGGGCCTCTGCCTCCCTCTGAACTGTCACATTGCCTGCCTTGGATTCAAATGATTGCTCACAGTTCAGTGTCTGGGAAAACAAAACTGGCACTAACATCACTGGGAAACCGGTGGACATGGTCAATAAGAGAATGTAGTTACCATCCTTCTCCACCATCACGAAAAGTAAGTATCAGGTGCTAGTCGATGCCATCTCTCAGTGTACTCCCACACACTATGGAATAGGGGGTATAAACCACTCAGGGTTTCCTATACATTCTTATGCAAGAGGATTATTGAAAACTAAAAGTAAAGGGGGGAAAAACAAGTAGGCAAAATCCTACTTGAGGTTTATTACAGCCAAGAAGTTTATTTTTCTCCCCTAAACAGGGTTTCTGTGTGTAGCCCTGGCTGTCCTGGAACTCGCTATGTAGATGAGGCTGGCCTTGAACTCAGATACTCACCTACTTCTGTTTCCTGACTGCTGGCATTAGAGGTGTGCATCACCAAATTTCAATTTTTAAAGAAACAATAAAGAACTGGATGTCTGTTCAACTCTTCCCTAGTCTCCTACTCTGCATGCCTTCATCTTGATTAGAAGCTGGCTTACATGGTTTGGCAATGGTACTTGGCGGTAGAGTACTAACAATGTGTGAGGCCCTAGGTTTGATGTCTATCACTGGAAAACAACTAGATGTATTGTTTGTTTCTAACACCTTATCATGGTAACTTGTATGATCCAGTGGAAAAATTATTCAACTCAAAGTGGAAGTTTTACTACAAATTGAGTAATTTGGAGGCAAAATATATGACTTTTTTTTGTTCTAGTCTGTTCACTTGGAACAACCCTCTGGCCCCTGGTTCATCGTTGTTAGGGTGAACTAGTGATGCCCAATTGCTTTGAGAATTGGTGGTGGTGTGTGGGTTTGGGTACTAGAACTGAACTCAGAGCCTCTTGCATTTGAGGTTAAGTGCTGTAACCTGCCAAGGACCATAAAACTTATGAGCCATTACTTTTTATTAGTGTATTATTTTTGTGCTGGGGTTAATATTAAACCCAGGGCTTCATGCATATGAAACACTCATGCTCTACCACTGACTTATACCTCAGGCCCTAATTTTATTTCATTTATTTAAATTAATTTTTTGTTTGTTTATTTTTTGCTTTTGTTTTTCGAGACAGGGTTTCTCTGTGGTTTTGGAGGCTGTCCTGTAGACCAGGCTGGTCTTGAACTTGCAGAGATCCACCTGCCTCTGCCTCCCAAGTGCTGGGTTAATTCTTTTTTTTAAAACAAGATCTCATATTGTAACTCACGCTGGCCTCAAACTTACAGCAATTCTTCTGTGTTGGTTTCACAAATGCTGGGATTGCAGGAATGAGCCACATATGACCTCATTTTTATTTAAAAATGAGAATAAAGCTATTACATTTTTTACAAACTTCCATGGAAAGATTTTGTTCATTTTTATGACTTCAATAACTTTTGCTGGTGTTATTAACTATATTAGTCTTTTAACTTACCAGCTATTATCACTTATCTGACACATTCTTCCTTCTGACTAAAAACAGAAGCTACAAGAATTAAGTTCTTTTCATGTTATATTACAAAGATAACATTTCTTAAAGCATGAATAGATATTTTCTAAGGTTATCATTTTTGAGAGTACTATGTTTGATTTTGAGGGTGTGCGACGCAGATGTTTGCCTAGTGGGAGCAAGGCCTAGGTTCAGTCTCCTTATTGGTAGAGGGGGATGGGGAAGAAGAGAGACTCAGCTAGGAAGGCAGAAGAGGTCAAGTTCAATGGATGAGGTGGCAAACAAAGGAAGCACGGCATCAGTAAACCACACTCACCACACTGGGAAGAGATACAAAGGGGAGCAGCCAGGCCAATACAGGACAGTTGCTGGTCACTCTGGGCATAAAAGCCTCCTTGAGTGAGACTAAGAAAAAAGGAGACAGGTTCAATTCCAAAGGCAACTTTGTTTAACACTTTTCTCTTTGTAGGCATTTTCTAAGTGCATGGGAAGCTGACCCACTCCTATGATTCATAGGCCCCAGGAAGTCCTATCTTATGCTTGCCTGGTTTTAACTTAACCTCCCGAAGCCACATCATTTCACATGATCTGTGCAGTAACTGAAGGGAAGGCATCTTTCCCCAGTGGAGCTGGTTTCATTTGCAAAGTTAAATGACTGAGTCTCACTCGATTTCAGAGAATAAGTTAGCCTTAGTCTAGCAAGATACCTCAAAGGGTAAATACGCTTGCTGCCAAGTCAGACAACGTAAGTTAGTCAGATTCCCAGGATCTAACCCAGCTGTGGAAAGTTGTCCCACGCTCACTCCCTCCAACAAATAAATACATTATTAAAAAGGAAAATAAAATAGAAGACTGGTGCAAAGCAAAACTGATTGTTGAGGATCCCTCAGATAACACCATGTCAGTGTGGACAAAGTTCTACATTGTGTCTGTTTAAGATGTTCTTTGGAGTTAAAACTGATTCTAAGTCACAGCACTCTTCTACAAAGCAGAGTCAGCAGACTGCAAGTGCTTGTCTTTACAAAATTAAAAGCTGTGGGGCTGGAGAGTAAGTGCTCAATAGTTTAGAGCACTTACTGCCACACAGAAGACCAGGGTTTCTTCTCACCATCCATGTCCTGAAGCTCACAACTGCCTGTAACTCCAGCTCAGGGAGACTGGATGCCTCTGGTCTCCTCAGGCACCTATACTCATGTACTTATACCATACACATAATTAGAGATAACAAGAAAGTCTTTTAAAAATGCAAAGTTGCTCTTTAAAACATATTTACTAAATTGCTTTTGAGGCAGGAGGACCATGAGCGTAAGGTCACCCTTGGCTAAAGTGGCATGGCCACCTCAGCTTTCCATTACACTAGGACTATAAGTGTGCATCACCACACTTTGCTCTGGGGGAGCGGGAGGTGTGAGGCCAGCCTGGTCTTCAGAGCAAGTTCCAGGACAGCAGGGCTATACATAGAAACTCTGTCTGTGCCATCACTGCCTGGCTGAAAATTAATTTTTATTTTATGTGCATTCAGTGTCCTTGGAGGCCAGAAGAGGGCATCAGATCTGCTGGAAATGGAGCTACAGATGGTTGTGGGCTACCATGTGTCTGCTGGGAATTGAATGCAGGTCCTCTGGAAGAACAAACAACCAGTGTTTTTAGACACTGAACCATCTCTCCAGCCCTATCATGTTACTTTTAAATGGTTTTCCACAAGTAATTAAAATATGTTAAGTATGACGTTTGTGTTTCTGATGGAATAGTAAAAGGCTTATATCGTTTGATGGCAAGATCCTTTTCTTTTTGTCTTATTTATATTGACTAGAAGAAATATATGGCAAAGATTTTATCTTGGTTTAACACATACTTTATATGCATCATCTCATTAAGAATTGTACACTTTAGAATTGGGTGTGTTGGCTCACATCTACAATCTTAACACGTAAGAGAATGAGATAATATTTGAAGTTAGTCTGGGCTGTATAGTGAGTTTCAGGCTAGCTGAGACCACAGTATCCAGACTCAAAAAAAAAATGACAACCCCACTCAAACACACCCCGTAGGCTTTAGAAGGGAGAATACAGCTAAAAACTGGGCTCAGCATATTTTAGGCCATAATAAGTATTTGTTAAGTGAATGACTCTAAGGAACATAAAAGGAGATTTCAAATTAACTTTCCTTCCTTATTCTAGGAACTAGGGAGACCGAGATAGTTATTTTATTGGACTGTATTTCTAATTGGGTTGACCATTTCCAAATAAATTGTCTCTGGAGAGGTAATGTAATCTGATTTTTTTTTTTTTTTCTGTTACTGGAGATACACAACTCCTGGCTTTGTGCTAGGAGAAGTGGGGAAAATACCTCTAATCTCAATGGGTTGGTGATAATGTATGCGAAATTCTCGGCAGGTAGAGCACACAATTAAAAAGTAGCAATCATTATTAAACATTTCCTAATATTAGACACATAGTAACCACTGATGACCCGTCCTTTCTACAAAGCCCTGGGATCTAGTTGTGTAAAAACACTCTTGGAAAACACAGTTAAGGCCCCGTGGAGATTGAGATCAATGGTTTTATGGGCGACCGAGGAGATTTAAGCAATTGGAATTCGCACCGTATTGAACCGGTGGAATATGACGGGGCAGTCCAAGGTTCACAAGCAACACCGATCAGACGGACAGACTCCGACGACTCCCAGTCTCCCGTGCGCCCGGCACCATCAATTCAGGCTCCGGAGGCTCCAGGAACTCGAAGCCCGCCGCGGCCGGCACCTGGCTCCGCCCTTCCTCCCGAACTCCCGTGCACACACTCACCCAGACCACAAGACTATAAGCAAATCCCACACAGTCACCCCCGAGGGTCCTAGACCAGAGACAAGAGCAAAGGCTGCTGGGAAGTTGACCTTTCACCTCGCCTCTTACTTCAGTTCACCTATTTTGACTCTAGCAAATGAATCGCCGAAGACAGCGGGAGGGCGGGACTTGG